CTCCCCTCCCTCCTCTCTCTCTCTCTCTCTCTCTCTCTCTCTCTCTCTCTTTCTCTTCTCTATCTCGCCAGGAACAAATACACTCGCGACATTTTCTGGCGTGAATCACGTAGGAAAAATGGCGCGCATAAAAAAGTCACATTTTTACTTTTCAGAGCCAAAAACCGAGATCCTGGGTGCGCCGGAGCTGTTCATCAATCGGGGTAGCACCATCAATCTCACGTGCGTCGTTCTGCAAAGTCCAGAACCACCCGCCTACATTTTCTGGAATCACAACGATGCGGTGAGTCCGATTCTCCCATCCGATACGTTATTATTCTCATTTCTGCAGCAGTCGCGCCGCTACTCGGAAACTGACACCCGGGAAGCACAACGGGGAGCTTAAGCACGCGAAGTTTACGCGCAACGAATAATGCGCAGACAACGTTGCAATATCGCGCGATTAGCGAGACCCAGATTTATTACTGACGCGCGCAACTCTGGCCAACGTTGACTTTGCGCGCGGATAATTAATGATGATCCTACTTCCCGAGATATATTCTAATATCACGAGGAAGGCAACGCGTCGAATAAGTTTCTGCCTCGCCGCCGGGAGACCAAGTTTCCGCGAGATGAAATTTTCAGCGCCGGCTGAAACTTTCGTCTTTCTTCCTCATGTTTATTGCGTACACAGTTGCTCCAGATTATTATTGTCGCTGCTGCTGTCGTTGTTATTACATTTTAGAAATTTTTCCGTCATTAACTTTTTGCAAACGTCTGTCCGAAAATAAATACGTGTAACGCATCGGCAATTTGCGTCTCAAGTGAAAGAAACTTTCATTTTCTTCATTAATTGACGTAATCTTCCGAAACTCCACGAGTTTTTATTATGAGAAAATTATGAGAAAATTTTTTTATTAGAGAGATGATCATTTTATTAATATAATACCTAGAGAAAAAATGTAATCTAATAATGTGTATGAGAAAAGGTATACAAAAGACATTTTAATTTAAAACCTTAATAAAAAAAATATATAAAATTTTCATTATATTCTAAAAGTGGATCATTTCTTAATAAAATATGCAGGAATCGATGGAGTTCTCTTCTGGAACGAAGCTTGTCTATTAAAAATTAATCATTTCGCTCTCTTCGACCCAAGCTCAAGAATCGATGACAATACGAATAGTAGAAATTCCGAATGGTTATCCGAGATGAAATCTGCCTCTCGTGAATTTCGCCACGAGGTAATAACGGTGAAGAGATGCGTGATAAATGGCCGTACAGGCATTGGCGAAGGTCGTCCCTAATTAGGTACTTCGCTTGGAACTCCAACAAGTCGAAGTTCCGATTAGAGCACTGATAGAGGACGGTAGGCGCACTTAACCACCTGCTGTCATACAAGAATGTTGAGCAGCTTCAAATGTTTCCGTAGCTAAGAATTAATTGAGCGGTATTTGCAATCTTTCGAGACTAGAGGAATCTCTCAATGTAATTTCGATTGAAATATTTTCATCGCTTAATTGTGATCGTCAAAGAAAAAGATAGATACAATAAAGGCAATACATTTACCACAATAAGAATACACGCGCAATCATATTTGCACACTTGCGCGAATATTTACTATAATTAATATATTGCACAGGTCGCGCACGCATTTATGATGGTTAAGCCAACCAAAAATATGTTCTAAAAGCTCGAGTTTAAGCTCTTAAAATATGCTGTACATAGATATGCAAATATACTCTTCTGAAAATGTCCCATTTCCCTTACAATAAAAATTTTAAGTACTTCCGCTTAAAATGATGAAATGCTGATGATACACAAACAAAATGATGAATAAATCTATTAAATTCAGAAATATATTTTATTGTCCCATTTTAATATTTATTCGTAATAAAATCTCTTCCTCGCATCTTTCTCGAACTTGGCGATCTCCGCGACGTGTCGACTTCGAGCTAGCTTTCACCGCGATAAAGCCAAGTTTTTCTGGCTGACGAATTAAGTATGTACGCGCGCTTATACAAAAGGGGATCATAAAACATTCTGACGGTGGTGGCGGCGACTGTTTGCGAACGGCTGACCGGCCAATAAATTTTGATAATGTCCCGGTTGGTTGGCCCGCCGCTAAATCGTGAGACTCGTGGTAAAATTGGTAACGGCACTCAGGAGGTTCCATTAGGCGCATTAAGCCCTGACCGAGAGCTTTGGGACTTGCCTGGCTACGTAGAAACAACGTTCGCTCGCGAGCCTTAAAGAGGGCTCCGTCGTGCGTGACTAACGCGTGCAGCCTCGAAGGGTTCTGAACCGTAAATGAACCGAGAGGGACTCCCTAATTCCACGGGATATCATTCGGTCCCACAATCATTCCCTTCGTCCTCTCTCTCTCTTTCTCTCTCTC